AAATTTCTGAGGTCTGACTTTTTAACCACACTGTAAAAGAACTCTGAATGGGTGACTAATGCATCTCTGCTACTCTGCTACAACAGTGAGGTGTGACCGTGAGGCATCTCAAGGTGAAACTGATCTCTGATATTCACTGTGCTACAGCTCAGATGACAAACATTATTAGTGACATTTGACATAACTCTGACTGTGACTGGCTTTACCTGACCTTGAAACCTTGAAAACCTTGAAACCTTGAACCTTTACTGGTGGAAAAGAAGAAACTGTCTTGATGGAGATAATAAAAGTCAACACTGGTGAATGACCAAAATAACAATGAACGGTTCAGCTTTGCTTTGCCTTGTCTTAACAGTATAATAACCTGAGCATCTTTGGGTTTTGCACTGTTGATTGGACAAAACAAGACATTGGGCTATTGAAACTCTAGTGGTGACCAATTTCTACTTTTTGCTGGCATTGCATAGACCAAATGATCAGTTAATATGCAAATTATCACTTGCATATTGCAGCAATCATAGAAAGTCCAGAACTTATTTACAGTACGCAGCACAGCTCCAGTGTGTTTCAATGATTTCTATACTTATTCCTATAAATTGTAGGCAAGAGTTTTTCTTTAGCCCAGGACCGAAGCATTAACAAAAATGTAGAAAACACAAAATCATCCAATTATCATGCAATAAGTTTTGAATCTTTGCTCTTTATAACGATAAAACTGCCAGTAATTTGGTTTGAGGTACATGTGAGTAAACACTGCATAATTTTGAAATGTCATTTCTCCTTTATCAATCTCAGATTTGGCTCTGTTCATGAAGCAAATCAAGTGAATTAGTCTGTAATGGAAACTAACATTATCTTGGATCACAGTAATGGCTTTGATTGATTAAAAAAACACTTCAAAGACCTGCGATGCTGTGAGAGCAAGGCCTGTGATGAAGCATCAGGCCGCTGCTAGAAAAGAGCTATCATCAACTCCTTGACAAGCGAAGCTGGGTGGTTGCCTAAAAAATTATCAGCAAAATCACATTACTTCTAGAAAGGATCTCACACTAGAACACCCACATAATAATCCATAAAAGTGCTAGCAGAGGGAGCGTGGGCAGTTAGTTCTACATTGGACATAGATTTGGCGGCTAGCCTGTTGTCAGCCATCTCATCAGCTCTCCACAGGGACTATCATGTAAAGACTTGGTCAGCCTATCAAGAAGTGTCTGTAGCGTGTCTATATGTAATGACTCCCCAGTTATCTGCTTATTTCATGCTACATGACAACAACCCACAGATGAATTCTATTAAACATAATCTGCAATCAATATGAACACATTTGCTGGCAGCATTGTAAAAATCTATGACTCACAAGAATACAGTTTATCTTAAAATGCTTTTTCTGAAGTGGAAACCAAATTCTGAAAAGTTACTTTCTGTGAAGAGCGTATTGGCCCAAACTCCAGTCTAGTGAAGGAATTATTCAATGTGCTGCAAAGGCAATGTCTGTGGTGAGCTCACAGTCCTCTGCATCATGCGTAGCCCTTCTCATCTGTGCGTGGAGAGCGCAGGCTGGAGCACTTACATAACCCAGTTAAAATATAACCCAGTCACATGTAGCATTCAGCCCTGCAGATAGATATCCCACTGTCTCTTGAGCTGCTCTGGCACCCGTTCAGACATTAGAGAGCACACACACACACACACACACACACACACACAGAGCCATAAAGCATTTGACAGTGATTGGTTGCTAGACATAATCAACTGCCTGCATGTGAACTGTTTGTGTGGAAAAATGGTCAGGGAGCTTTCTCTCTGAGTGAAACGCACATGATTGAGTGGAGCTGCAACAGGAAGAAGCCACAAAGGGAGAGGGAGGGTACATAACAAGGTGCCGGAAGTCCAACCCTTTAAAGTTATAAAAATGCATCCAGTATCACTTCACCCGGTATCACTTCTCCTTCTGACTATGTAACCAGTAACACCATCTCTAAATGCTATTGGCTGAGACTTGCCACACACAACAGACACTTCTCCCCCCTCCTCCCCGCCACACTGCTGCAGCGTGCCCACACTAGTCACATTTCTGGTGTGTGGGTGGGGTTAACTCGGTGGAGCTAGCATTTACTGTAACAGGATGACATATCTGGGGGAGTAAACAACACCAGCAACACAGGGTCCAGGCTCAGTGAAGCTTTGCTCAAATGATGCAAGATGAAAGCCTCAGTCCGTGATAAATTCAGGCTTTCTGGTATTGTCATGTGGAACATCTGTGGAGATCGTGATGAAACAAGATCGTTTGTGGAGTGTTGATAGCCTAGAGTCTGAGCTAAAAGGTTTGGTTTCAGCTAGACTAATTAACACAGTCAGATTTTAATCCACTGTAGACAGACGTTTTATTACAAAAAATAAGAGGTGACTTGGAGTATCTGGTCCAGGGTTTTGCAAACTTTTCAAGATAGGTTATACAGACTAAAGTTATATAAAACCAAATATTCTCTATCAACCCCAACTGTGTCCAGTCAGTGCTTGTGTCTTAAAGGTCCGATCCACACTCACATGGCTCATGTTTGTGTCCGCCTGCACATTCCACTTGGTCTTCCCAGCCCTCCCAGCTCAAACCTGTGCATGGGTAACACTGCAGTTATTACTGGTGAACACTTACAACTTGAACAGTGCTGTGGAAAGCCTGCTGATTGGTGTCCCAATTTAGAAGATGCATACAGCCTGTACACACATACAGTACAGACTCACACGTCACTGTAGGTCCAGATTCGACTACAGGATAGCATATGGCCCAAAGCCAAAGTACACCAAGCTGAGTCATGTGCACAGCTCATTACAAGGGACAGCTGCTAGACAGGACACACACAAACATGCTCCCCTGCCAACAGCATCCAAATACACTCACATACAGTTTACACCTGTATCCACTTTAATACTTGCAGGCAGTGACATGTTCTGTCACTATGCAGCATTCGAGTGAAACAACAGTCAACTGAGGTCGCCAGCAAGTGCTCCTTACTCCAGTGAAAGTTTTCAATGGATACCTATTGCATTAGACACTGTCTGAAAACAAGAAACAGATTTTGCTATACCTCATACTGCAAATTGTACACACATGCATGAAACCCTCAAAAGGCTGGAGGGCCTTCTCAGCTCACAGGGTGAGGCGTGGCATCGATGTGCACCCACGCACATGTGCAGCGTTTTTGTTTAAAAGGGAGGTCTGGGACAGACGTGTGGTGCGTTCCCTATAATGAAGTGGGTGTGAGTCTCTGATTTGGCTTTTATTTTTTTATGAATGAAAGCAGGGAACAAGCGGTCTCGGCGGGATGCGGCCAGCCTCGCTGACAAACTGAAAATCACAGTACCAGTTTGTGCTGTGTGACTCATTTCTGATTCTGTCAGGAGAATGCACAGATAAAAGAGTTCCCTTTGTGAGGAGATTGCAAATTGCTGCTGTTGTTCTTTATGCGGCTGACAAATTGCAGTGCAGTTGATGTAGCTGGATTATTGTTACTACATAAATGTTCCTGGAAATCACACAGAAGATTTACTGTACAATCTGCGGTTTAACTCGAGAAAACACTTTCAACAAGAGTGAATTAAGAAGCTGTGCAAATCTTCTGCTTATATAAAGACAAGACAATGTCTTCTTTATAATGTATACAGCGTCTGTACACTTTAAAGTGCTGCATGCATGTACTTGAAATATCTCTTCTTTAAAAAAAAAAGATGATGTTTCCTGTGCTTTGAAGTGGATATGATATACTCCACAGTGACATGTAAGCCTTGAAGACAAAAAAGGGAAATGAGTTTGCTGAGAAGCTGCAGGAAGCTCTCAGTCGTCACAGACTCTGGGGCCGTTAGATGATCTGGGCCTGGGGAGCTGAATGACAGGAGACTGTTTATGGAATGTTTAAAAAAATGTGGCAGCTTACAGGACAGTTCAGAATCCAACATGAGGGGATCACCGTGCCAGCAGTTGTGTCACCTCAGTCAGCTCTATGGGTGCACTGGTGTCTGTGGTGCGCATTCTCCACAGCAGGATGTGAGTCAAACACAGCAGCAGAGAGCAAACCCACCATCAGGACACTGGAATGCTGGTGCTCTTTTGCTGCCTTCTCCTCACAACAATATGATAACTTGACAACAAAGCTTTCTTAGAAGCTCATTACCATATTAAAAGTTCATGATAGAAAGCACAGAAGACAATCCAAAAGGTCCTTCTGCATTCTATGTCAGATAGATTTGCACTCAGCTGTTAAAACAGTCTGGGCAGTGTCTTTGGCTCTGTAAACAACTCAGAGGGCTTTTTCACGTGTGAACTGTTTGCGCTCGGGCTAGAAAGGAAAGAAATTTGCTGCTTTTTAAACTCTATTTGTCCTGATTGTCAGTTGAGGGAGACAAGGAGAGGAGGTCAGACGCTGATGCCTTTGCAGTGGGTGTCTCCCGAGCACACGTGATCACGTTTGTTGCAAGAGGGTTTGTGACTCACTGGCTCCAGACTCAGGATCCCAGGAAGTCAAACAGAGGCCCTGTGAGTCATGCCTTTACTGGCACACTGTTCAAAATTTAAACAAATGGAAAATAACCTGTGTTCCCTTTGTAGCTCCAATTGTGTGTGTAAAATTATTTACTTGTTAAGCTTTAAAGGATCATTTAAAGACAGCAACATTAAAAATGACAGCATCATTTGATTTATATAGCCTATGTGGTTATATCATCATGTACAATATATATAGATAGATAGACAGCCTTCACCAGGCTGCTCAGCTTACTGACATGCCACAAGTCAAGCATCATCATCCAGATGATATAATGAGGAGGAATGACCAAAACTTGCCCAGGGTTAACTTTTCACCCAGCTGTTGAAATGAAACCGAGCCGCGTGTCCACGTGCTTGTGTCATTTCCATGTCATTAACATATGTAAACCGGTGGCGCCTATCGCTCCGCAGCTGCGTCGAGAGAGGAAGCTGATTTGTCGGGCTGCAGCGTTAGAGGAGCAAATGGGAGAGCCTTTCCCCGCTAATCCCGCCTTCCCAGACACGTTGCCTTGGGAGAAGCAACACGGGCGCATCACTGGCTGTACTGCACGTCCAGCACAGCAACTCCTCTGCGCGACAGCCCTGCTGGATTTACCGCTGAACAAAGGAAGAGTAGGACCCAGCCGCTCCATCCTGGGAAGGTGCGTAACCGACATGATCCAGATCTCACCCGAATCCTCAGAGCATCCTGATAATCAGTACTGATTGCGCGTGTGTGGGCAGGTAACACCGAGGCGATTTTCTCTTTAAAATCTGAAATTTGACACAGTCGGTGATCGCAAATAGGGCAAGCATTTGTGCTGATGGATTACTGGTATATGACACTGATAACTGTATCTGTTCCGGTTTTATACAATTTAACAGTACATCTTGCCAAATGTACTATGACTGATGAGGAAATCTATTGCGTCTCTTACCCAACTGATGTCTTTCTCCCCTGTTTGTATAATGAAATGGCACCCCTGGATGGGGTCCTTATTCCTGTTTATCTCAGATTTTTAAACCAGTGTAAATCGGTGAGCATTAAGGTGCTTTACCTACCCAGGTGGATGGACACAGGGAGATCATAAAGGCTATAGGCTCCTTGTGTACTTTTTCACCAAACAAGCGTGTGTCATGTAAAAACATAGCCCAGTTTTCAGTACTACAGTAGCTATTTAGACTGAAAGCCTGTAGGCCTGTCTGGTGTATTCAAAGGCCCAGAACAAGCCAATAACTGGACAAGTGTGTTGTGTATGTGCCATGGCACTTACTTTTTGCCATATCATTTTAGTTGTACTTAATATATGTAATGCTTTTTTTTTGAGAGGAAGAACAAACAGTTGACTGCTTGTACGGCTGTACAAAACTGTGGTCTCTGCTACACAGCATCCATATTATAACCTTTAACTGGAGATCTATTTTTTCTGTGTTTGTGTAATGTTAGAGCTTCTAAAATTAGCAAACATCTGCTCCACCCTCTTTTGTAACAATAAAATCAGAAGGTGGTCGGCCTGGAACAACGAACTATGGAACAATTAGCTCTCTCACCCTCAAATTTAACAGGAAACAACACATGTCAGACGTTAACTATTCAAAAACCAAAAATAATCTTTGTGCTCCGAAGGCTGCTCTCACTTCCTTCGTGTACTAATCACTGAGGAAACATGCTGCAGAGAAGGGAAGACCCCACAAGCAATTAAGCATCTGTGAAGAGCATTTGGAGGAGATTTCACTCACAAGGCAGTGTTCATGCTGTAAACAGTCTCTCTTTTTGTAAAAAAAAAATTTCTGCCCTGACAAGTGTCACTTGTGTTGATGGGAGGTCTGCAGGCTGAGGCACCAGCCCTTATGGTGGCAGGCCCCTGCCCCATGTAAATAAACAATCCAAAAGTGTTTATGAATGAGTGTGATGGTAGCAGCTGTCAGACCAGCTGAATGGACGAAAATACACAAGCTAGCCATTTGTAAAATGTAGAATTTATTTTACTGTGGGATGTAATGATGTGGAGATTTACAATGACAAAGAAATAGGTTGTTTGATGGTGGCTTGTGTTTACTGGCTCAGGTGTTATATCTGCAAAACAAACTGGTCATTGTGGTCTCACTGCCGCCGTCTGTCCGGTGTGCTCAGCTGTCCCTCCACCTTTACTCATTTCTGCTGGGTTGGTTGTGTTTTTGGAGGTTTTTGAGTAAAACAAACCTGCAGTATTTGCTCTCAAGTACATTTCAGTGAGTTAGTTTAGTTTCTCCTGCATATAGTTAAGTTGCTAACATTTCTTATGTTCATCAATGCTGCTTTTGACTCTTTGACTCTTTATTGCTGCATTATAGTAACAGTGACTTTCTTTCTGTCAGGTCAGTGATGGTCAGTGTTAGTTAGAGCCTGCGGCCAAGGATGTCTGCTACAGATTCGGACAACTCCATTGACTGGCTGGCTAGTGACAATGAGGATAATGAGAGTGAATACGGGCCTGACTGTACCAGAAAGCAAAGCCAGACAGAGGCTCCTCTATCCCCCAGTGCTCCTCCACACCTGGGCCCATCTGAGAGCATCTGCCATCGAAACATCGAGGTGAAGGAAGGCAACAGTAACTGGAGCGAGGTCAGAGAAACCTCTGGTCAGGAATCTTCCCCAAACTCCACAGAGACATGGGCTGGCGTCACCAAATTGTGTAAAATGCAACAAGGAGAAAATATGAATGGCAAAAACACTCAGCAAGCACTGAAGAGACCTCAGAGCTCCACAGACATGGAGCACAAGGAACGGCAGATCATTTCCAACGTGTCAGAGAAGGACCGAATTTTCAGCAGTAAGGTGAGCACCTCTGTGACTCACGTGTTTCCCGCAGGAGGCGCATTCTGGAGGTCAAGCAGACTAGAGCGAGCCCTATCACCTAGATCAACTCTGCTGCTTTTACAGTGCCTCATGCATGACATTTCCAGTAAAGCTGACCCTCCACTATAACCCTATAATCAGACTTAGTCATGTTTTTCTGCAGAACTAGAATCGTTCTGCCGTACAGCAAATCAGTGAATCAACAAAAGATTATGGGGGTTATCTGAATCATGTTGAGCAACTTTTATATTAAATGAATTTGTGGAAGCAAGTCTGATATTGGCTTTTCAAAAAGGTTTTTGAACACATTTTGACATTACCCACAAACAAGTCTGTTGTCATTTTCAGTGCATGGAGCTACAATGCTACATTCATCCACTGTCATCAATCTTGAATGGCCTTCGTTCAGGGAGATACAGAGAACGTAAGTCAGTCATTTCACCTCTTTTGTTGCTGTTTTTAGAAAAACTCTCAACAGGTTCATACTGTTTAGCACAGCCTTTTCTCATGTGAGCCCTGTTCCTGTCTTTTCTTGTGCCACAGCAAAAAGTAATAGACAGGATAGACAGCATGCCACTCTATGTGGAATATGTGTCCCTGGGAATTGAGAATGAGATGTCTGAAACGTGTTGCTGTAGGGCTACAAGTGACCACAAGTATTTCCTGCATGTGCCTGCCCAGTTTTTATATTGCAGCTGATTTTCAGTGAAGGTTCAGCTTAGAAACTACACTGTTCGAGTCCTTTTATCAGTTAAAGAAAATTTAACTTTAAATGTTATTTTTTTACCAGCTGAGAACAAGCACTGTCATTCTTTAGACTTCCTCCTGCTCAGCAGAGGCGAGTAAGAACTGTGCTCAGACAGGCATTATAAGAGCTTTTGGAAGATAGCACTACGTTCAGACAGGCTCTGAAACTGAGTAGTTTGGGATCTTTGCCGAATCCTTGTGTGACCCAACACTTCCTGGCCACAGACGCAGACACACATATTTTCACACAACCCATCTGCTCCACAGATTCAGGCCTGCTGTCGACACCGTGCATGTGGCTCATGGTACAATTTTCTTGTTTTCCAGGTCTCAGCAGTTTCCAGGAGAGTGTGGCGATGGACAGGATTCAGAGGATCATGGGTGTCCTGCAGAACCCCTGTAGGGGGTAAGTGTCCTCAGCTTGACTGTTCTACATGTAAAAATCCACTCTATCATCTAATAACATTCACTATATACGTATATGTATATTTTTACAGCTAGATTTTGAGACATACTGTGCTCCATGAAAGTATTTTTTACTTTCACTGAAATAGAAAACCTTTGTTGCTTGAGAGTTTTGGTACATTCAACCCTTACATAGAATTATAACTTCTGAACATCACAAATGCCGTGTGCGGGTTGCTGTGGTCTGCAACATGTCCGTAACACATGGTTCACAGTAGCCTGCCCTGTGAGGAGCTACTACCCCCACACATTCAGGATCGATTTACTGCAGAGATGACTGGATTTCACTATAGCTGGGTATCTTGTTAAAAATGTATCAGGCCTCACTGTGGGAGCAGCACACTTGTGTCTGCTTGATTAGCTGTCCACTGGCCATACGGTATAATGGAGTACAATACCATCCCTATAAACGAGAGCCTCTTAGTAAATGTAATAGGATCATCTTTAAATCTTTTGATATTTTGTGCTTTGTTTCACATGATAAAATAGCCCTTTAGCATCTTATTTATATATTAAGCACCAGGTAATATGGTTGAAGTCAGTATCACAATATCACAAACAATAGATTCTGACAAAATGTACATGACAATATATAAACTGCATGAAAAATTACATATAAAATAATGAAATTTACATGACAATGCATGATAGAAACTCTTTAACTTATAAGGAAAGTCTTCCACAACATTTTGTTAGCTTTTGATTTTAGTGTTCAAATAACTATGTTTTTTTACTGATTAATCTCAATAAAGTCCCCAGATCCCAATGTGATGGATTCACAGCGCACGTTCCAAGAACCTAAAAAGACTTAATTTATAATGATATAAAAGCAGAAATAACTCGCATTTAAGAAGTGGATCATCATTTATCAAAATAGGTGTCAAGCTATTTTTAGTGATCGAGTAAGCAAACAATAAAATTTTCATTTTAGCATTCGATTGAGTAATATGTAAAAAATCACACATTGTGATCATACCAACGTGATATGATGTAGTGTGAATGTTAAAGTCTATAAATCCAGCTTCATGTTCTGAATTTAAAGCAGCATTTACAGGTTCCTGTTTGAGAAGCAGAGCGTGTCCTTCTGGGCAGGCTTTGCATCAGGGTATGCTGATATAAAATAAAGTGCTTCTGAGTTTCTCGCAGACAAATTGTAGCCCTCATCCACCAGCTGCTGCCTTCGTATGGGAGACAAAGAGTGGGTGTGGTAGCCTCCCAGCAGACAGCCAGGGCAGAGGCTGGAAGGTGGACTAGGCCCCTCCCTTCTTCCCTGTGCCTGCTCTGTGTTGCCAGCTGGCAGCCCCTGCATCCACATAATGGTAGATAGGATCAAAGTGACTTTTTTAGCAGTCGCTGTTGTGGATAATCTTTCACATGAATTTAACATGCTGTGAACGGAGTACACCTGAAAGGTCCTGATCGTATGACAAAGGCTAAACCATCTGGTTTTGATGGGTAACAGTTAATAGATTTCTCCTTCAGTGAGAACTGCGTCACAGAGACTAGTTTATTTTCACAATGACGCTGTTGGAGAGCATTGTGGCTTTTGTGTTTATACTTAGGTGAGGCGGGACAAGCAGAACTATCATACATCAGGCCACCTGTGCGTTCAAAACATTTAAGTGTTCACTTGCTGTTCATTATTGCATGTTTCCTGTGTGAGCGTGATGCAGAGATAAGATTTCAGAGAAGAGGCTGGCAAGATTTTTGGTAGATTACTCAGATTTATGTCCGACAGCTTGAATAAATATTTCTCTCTCTCTTTGTTTCTTTCACTCTCCTTCTCTACTTCCTTCCTTTTAAGGGAGAAATACATTAATATCATTCTTAAAATGGAGGAAATGCTGAAGAGCTGGTTCCCTAATGTAAAACTCCAAGACCAACAGGCTGTCACTCAGACAGAGGAAGCTGTTCCTACCAAGAAACCGAAGGTAAAGTTGTAAAAAAAAAAAAAAAAAAAAAAAAAAAAGCAGAAGTGTTGTGTAAGAGTTCTTTAGCTAGACAAGCCTGCTGCCAACAACACTGACAATGCATTTAAAGTGGAACTAAAATATCTTTTATTATTTAATCACAGGTTTGGGAGGGGAAGGGGGGGGGGGTTTAAAGCTGTTTTACTGAGGGAGTACTGCAGTTTCAGGTTCGCTAAGAACAATGAAAGAAGAGAAAAGGTAATTTTGGAGGAGAGTCACTAAGGGGGATAAGAAAGGTCAAAATGCTCTGGAACATTCCTCTGTGTATAATTCATGAGGATTTATTTCAGTGGCTAATCCTGACACACCCTCCGATGAACAGGAATTTCATGTGCCATTCTTTTCACCCACTGCCGAGAAGCTATTTTGTAGTTAGCAACTGGTCATGCTGTTAAAGCAACACAGTTATTTAAAATCTATTTATAATGTGTAAGGGGTCGCTCAGTGTCAAACACACAGGGAATTATCACCCAGTCCTGGCATTCTTGGCTCTACAGAGCATTTTTAGCTTCTTTATACTCATTGTTTTGGTGTTATGGCCCGTGACATTGCTGTTTTGGTTCATTTGGTGTCATTGCTTGCATCATCATTGTTTTCGATGATAACATTCTGACAGAGCTATTGTATGCTACCAGTCAGTAGACACTAGACTAGCTAGTGAACACTGTGGAACATTTGGCCAGTAAACAGTCAAATATTTTTCTCAGGAGTTGGCTGAGACAAAACAAAACAAATTTTTATGAAATTAAAGTATAACAACATCTTTCATATCTGTTTGTATAGAAATGAAATAATGCCTGTAAAGAGTTCCTCTTTAATATCTAGTAAGGACAACAGAGGGAAACTAGCACTCGACTAACTCTAGCTGGTTTACAGTGTTTTACAGCCTTTCTTTTTGATCAGTGGGCATTCCTCCTGACAAACAACATATTTATTTCTTCTTTTCCAACAGCTGTCTCCAGTGACCACCACAGGAACCGTGAGCCCCATTACTGTCAGTGATCCTCCAGTCGGCACCAAAGCCCTGAGAGTCACTGACCTCACTCCGCCAGGAGCCTACTCTGCTAGCAACCTGAAGTGGCTCCACACCTCACCCATCTGCTCCCCCACAGCAGAGCAGACCCAGGCTGGCCCCAAGCATCTGCTGACCCCCAGAGACAGAGACCTAACGCAGGACAGTGCTGTATCCTCCAGCACAGACAGCTGTACTAAGACAGACTCTGTGCCCAGAGGCCCTCCACCAGGCAAAATCAACGCGCCCTGTCTAGAGAGGCTCCTTAAATCCACAGAAAGCATTATTACCCGCAAGGGGACGGGGAGGGTGATGGACAGCAGCTGGTCCTAGTCCACACAGAGGACTGGGTGTCCAGCTGTAAGCACCGCACAGCCCGGCCCAGCCTTGCCCACTCTGCCGGGAGCCAGTCTGCTTGCTTAGCCCATTCCAGCCTTCAAAAGGGACGGAGTGCCGACGAACATCTCCCTGTACGAGAATGTGCCCTCTCTGATATGACAAGTGTCTGCTTTAGTTCCCTTCTGTTGACCTATCTTTTGTTTTCTGTTTGTGGCATTGAATAGCGTGTGTGAGAGTGGGAAGGATACATTTCACATACCAAGATCACCGGAGCTAATTTCACAACTGAATAGTTGCCACTGGCTTGTAGATGCAATAATACAATTTGAGTATCTGTGAAACCCCCATTATGCCTGAAAGGGAAAGACTTGCAGGAGTAGTTAGTGCTGAAAGAGAGTGTTTCAGATATTCAAACATGTCAGTGGTCTGCATATTGTTGTGCTGAAACTGTGGGTGAAATGTGACGTTATCCCCCTCCCCCCATTGACTCCACTCTTAAGTTTATTGATGTGACTGTTACTCGTTTGTATAAATAAGTCTTTTGGTACAACTGTTCTACCTCAATGGGCACCACGTCACGGTTAGTGAGTAGGAATGTGAACACTGCGCTCCAAGTCTGGACACCTTACCAGATCCGCAGTAAGCCAAACAGCCTTGGACAGCGAGGTCCGCAGTACAAGTCGTCCTGCCTGAGGATGCTCTCTCAGTGGGGATGCTTCTCTGGCCTGACTGGTGCCATTGTAAAGAATGTCACATTTGTTTTTTTAGTCTCCCAGTAGAAGGCAAACAGTGCCTGTAACATCAAGCTGTGCCTGTAAGTCAGTACAATAAAGAGAGAGAACCGTTCAGAATACTTGCTCCTCTGTGAGATGTGCAAATCAGGAATTCTCATTCTTCTGCCATTTTCCTGTATCGAGTAAATTATTCAGATCTTGCCAACTACTTTCTGTGGTGGAGTAGAGCTCTTCTTTTATGTTGCCATAGAACTGGACAGTATGCTAGACCAGCAGAGAGATGGACAAGCTTTTTCTCTGTAAATCTTACAGAAAGGTTGTTGATTTACCCTGAAAAGTGGCCTTTATAGTGTGAAATTTTATACTTTCAAAATAAATGTGGTTATATTTGTTTGATGCAAAATGGCTAAAGGTTGTTTTTATTGTGAATTTTCCTAATACAGGCTGATAGAAGTTTCTTTAAATGGAGAGATCCAAGCCTTTTGTGCTCTTACATTTCCACCAAAAGAATCTTTAATATTAGAAACATTCAATTTGTCACAGTATACCCCTTTGTTCCAATGTTCCACATAGCTTTTTCTGATTCATATTGAGTGAAATATTCAGTTCTTAATCAGCGTCACTTGTCAGTAACATAAAAAGACACGTTAAAGGTAAAGACACAGAGGGAAGACCATCTGTGTCAGCAACAGGAATCTATAAAACAGGTTGCTGTAAGTGTCAGAAAAGATCTATAGCAGGTCAATTCAGTATCAAAGAAGCCCAAAGAAAGAGTACAGTCTGATTTACATCACAGTTAGGCCAATTATAGCAGTCGAGCAGGAACTCAGATGGAGCTTAGTTCCTGAAGGAATAAATTGATTTATTGTTTGCAAGGCAGGATGTAATTTTCAGCACTTTAGTACTGCTATAAGTAAAATGGACTGCTTTCAAAGGAGCGCAGTCAAATATGCCAGCTCAGTATCAGTTCACATTTCTCAGAAGGTGGCGTCGCTGTGGGGAGGAAAGGTTTGATTTTTCCACACATTCACTGATTGACTTTCACATGACTATAGACAAACCAGACAGCGGACTTAATGAGCTACCTATACAACAAAGACAATGACAACTAATGGAATGATAATGATCATTTTTGGCAAAAATCAAACACTGGGAATCACTTGTCTTTGCATGTGTAAAATATCAGACAAATCTGAAATTCTGTAGTTTCTGCACACTGCTGGAGCAGCTGAAGATTTTGATTGTTTTATTGACTTTACAATAGCAGTTATATCCACTTCCTAAAGTAGTGTGTGATTCAAGATGCAAATGTCTACTTCTGCTGCCTGGAGCTGTACTCTGAACCCAGCAGCTAACAATGTACCTAAACTGGCAAATGATATACAGTGTTTCTGCTAACTAGAATAAAAAAAAATGACTGCTGACTATAAATCTAAAGTTGAATACTGCCACCTATAGGTGAAGGGTTCATCCTTTGTTGCTCTGCTTTCTGAAAGACAGTCTCTGAGTGTAAAATGGGCTACATTATGCATTAACACAGTGTTATTCTCCTTTGGAAAACAGGCCTTCTTTAAAACTGTAAAATAACAGTCCTTTGGAGTAACTTTTAAAAGCCAGCCTTTGTAAATGTATACATTAGGCTATATTACAATGACACCTCAACTGGGGATTCATTTTCACTCAGTCCAGGCCAGATTTATTTTATTTTCTTTTGACAGCATCCATGTCCAAGGACAGCTTGTTTCAGCTAAAACAGGGTGCATTCACAAAGGGTGAAAACACAAATTTGTAAGTGGCCTGGAAAGCAATCTCTCAGGAAGTTGAGGAGATTGAAGGCGGTGAAGGTCTGCCACTTTTTTGACTTGCCATTCTCTGAATTACACAGTATAGTAACATGTTTCTTTTTCCAGGTTGCAAAGGGGTGAACGGCAGGAGGTAGAAGAGTCAATTACCCAGAGTGCATTGTTTCACTGTTGCTGCCCCAGATTCCTTCTGCCAGGCCAATGCTGATGGTCTGGACTCACGTGCACAGATGACCTGATAGCATCCAAGTCCAAAGACAGCTGGCACAGATCTGTCTCGTATTCGCCCTGAAAAGGGAAGTTGTTATGAATGATAGGAAGAGCTGCATCAACAAAAGGCGCCTTTCTCTCAGAGCTTTCTGCAGGAGTTGTACCAAATCACATTGTGCAGTGATAAGGCTGCCGGTGGTGAACATGTCATGTGCTGGGAAACTGCATGGAAAACAAAGGGCAAGGAATATAAATGTAATCACAGAAGGAGAAGGGATCTGCAAATTAAGATCTTTTTAAAACAAAAATGTGAAGGTGCAAAATGCTTTTTTGTGTATTTTTTGTTCTGTGTTACTGGTAGCTAATGAACCTGAAAAGGTTGGTCCTTAGCACAAAGAAAAGCCAACAAGAGCCAGACTGGGCAATAAGTGCTAATGAATTAAATCTACATTTGTTCAGTTATGTGTTTAATACTAAGTGACACCAGAATTACCTTGGAACAATAAAACCATGGACAAGAAATAATTTTGCTTTCCATTTTAAAGGTTCCCAGAGGATATGCTTTACAAATTATATTGATGTCATGGCAATTTTTTTCTCCACTATGTGTGGACAAAGACTAATCATCAGTGGAGGAGCAGAGCTGGGAGCCTTTTGTTGACTAGATTCAAAGGCGAGTGGGAGAGAAAAAAGGGAGCAGGGAGGAGGACAGGTCTGTGGTTCCAGTTGCAAAAAGCCGGAAGGAATAATAAGTAGATCTTCGCTCTCTCCAGCCACCCTTTCATTGTAAATTGGCCTTGATTTGATCTCCAACTGAGCGTGAAATGACAAGGTGACTTGGTGTTGAATTAGAGCCGAGCTGTGCTGCTTCACTTTTCTGCAGTTATTTACTGCATACGTATGTACTCTGTATATGTAATTCATTTTATCAAGTCTTCCCAGACAGAAAGAGGCAGATATGAAGTCACCTCCCAACAGCTAACTATAAAAATATCTCACTTCATGCTATAAAAAGGTCCAATTACCTCAGTGCAGGTGGTGAATGAAGAACACATAATTACAGCTACATCTCCCCGGCAGACCCTCTAAAAATCCTCAAGCTGCAAGACTGCATTTACCGACTACATCTTCCTGTAAAAGTTAGATGCAGTTTGTGTTAATGGTCACTATGACTATAGCCTTGTTAACTTTAAAAAGCAGCAATACCTATATGCTGTGACCAAAACTTATTAACCTGTTATCATCTCAGATCCAGAGAACAGCTAGGCTATTCTCAAATATCCAATACATGATTGAGCATTTGAGATTATGGACACGAAATCAAGGCTCATTGAATCACTTGAAAATCCAAGTTATTACATCTTTTCTTTGAGAGAGCACAGAGCAGGCTGAGGAGTCCATCAAAAAAAAAAGAAATGCTGGTTTCCTCTATAATTTACTGGTTGATAGAATAGCAGGTTTCAGAACATTCTGCAACTTTGTATATAACTGCCACACATTCTGATCTAATCCCTGCAAAGCGAGGAAAGGACTCATTATGCAATTAAGAACTGTGAAGCTGAGTCATTCACACCCTACAGAGCTAATGTTCTCATCTGTCACAGGACTGAGCGCCTTTAATTAAGACATCTATGAACCCAAAATATCCCCTGCTCAATTATTAGAAGAGCAGGTTATACAAATGATAAACCAGCCACTGCCATCTGTAGCTGCGTCTCTCTGGGGAGTTTCAGTGAGCAGTTTGCATAAACACTGGGGAGGTCTAGTCTATCACTGTCTCAGCTTTGGCTCATTATAGAAACATGGCATTTTAAGAAACAAAACAAATGTACCTTATGGCTTATTATTTAAAGATTAATTCCACAGTATACTGATATGAATAAATCACTTGTCTCCAGAGCCAATGACCACAGAGCATATTGATCACTAATACAGATGGCAATAAGTTATCCTCACCCCTTTTAGGAGAACAAACAATGTTCAAAGAGCACAGGAAACTGATATGAATGACAAGTGAAAAGTATAGACATGATGTAACAGCTAGATGAGACATAAGTAGTTTTTGAGGAGACTATCAAAGGAGTGATAAATGCTTCATAGAGCAGAAAAATAATGAGGGTCATTAAACATATAATCCAAGTGAATTAATGAGTAAATTCCTGACAGGTGTTTAACCATATTTTGACACAGACTTTTATAATATTGCTCAGAATGCTCTCAGTGTGGTTGGCTGTCACCAATTTATTAACACCACAAAGTGTCATCATCATTGATGCAGGCAATTTTTCAAGACCATCCGTGCCTCAGAGACCAGTCATGCCCTCACACCACAACCATCTGCATAATTATCTATACATTCTCTTGTAGCAGAAGAGCAGAATTGTGTCTCGTGGGTTCTCAATCATCCTAGAGGATCACAATAGGCTTTAAAAAAATATAAATGGCAATATAAATGGCCACATATAAATGGCAATTTTTATTATATTTTGAAATATATAATGCACATATGTCCCTATATATTACATATATTTTGGATATTGGTGACAGACATACACTGACATATACTATATATGTAATTTACATATATTATTATATATCAGATTTGGTGACAGTAGGGAAA